CACGCCCGGGCACGGAGGTTGCGGCTGGCGCCCGCGGGTCCACACAGCCCATCCTTCGCTCCGTGACCCCTCCCCCGCCCCCAGCCCCCATGGATGCTGTGCGGCGCCGGCACTCACCGCGATCCTCAGGATGGACGCCTTCACCGAGGTCCACCTGTCCTGCCTCCGGTCTATGACCAGGATGAACCCGACACCCGCATCCTGCAGGCTGCATCGGGGGAGCCACAGTTAGGGGCGCTGGCGGGCACGGGGTCCAGGTCCGGGGCCTCTCGCATCTCCCACCAGCGCCCCTGCAGGCGGGCGGGCGCCGTCCCTCACGGCCGGCCGCCTGGCATCAGCCTCCTGAGCGCCCTGACCGGCGGAGCCCGTCCTTCCTGGAGCCCGGGCTGGCGGGGCGCTGGGGCTGGGGGGCGCCCGCAGGCGGGGCCTCTGCGGGGAGCGAGCAGGAGGCGGCGCTGCCGGCTGGAGCGACAGGTGCAGCGCGCGGGGCTGCCTGAGGGACACCGGCCCCCTCCCCTGCCGCCCGCCTCCGCGGAGCCCACGCAGTTCGGGATGGGGGGGTGCGGGCCTTCGCCAGGCCCGCCGGGGAGTCTACGTGGGCGGCAGGGGCCAGGCGCGGCCCCCCACTCCCAAGCCCCAGCGAGAGCAGGGAGGGGCAGCAGCTGGGCTTCCTGAGCTGGAGGAGGCTGGGTGCCGCCTTGCTCCCCACGGCCAGGCCTCAGGATGGAGGGAGTCAGCGGGGCCCAGACCCCACCCACCAAGGGGCCTCTGAAGCTCCGCAGGGGTGCAGGGAGGGGCGAGGGCCCCAGAGCCCAGCAGCAGCTCCCAGCGCCCAGAGACACCCCCACAGCCGTGACTCAGCCTCAAATCACCCCACCCCCTTTTCTGCCAAAGAGAGGCTGAGCCCAGCTTCCCGGGTGGTGGGGGTGGACCGCGGGGTGGACAGTGCTTTTCCAGCCCACTGTGTGCCCGGCAGCGGGACCCTCGCTGGGTGGAATCTGAACATTCCCTGTGGGCCTGGCCCGCATGGGCACCGGGCGCCCCTGCTAGCACCCCCGGGCTTAGAGGCCTGTCCTCCCCGGCACCAGGCCGAGCGTCCAGACAGCAGAGAGCCGGGGCGGAGCCGGCGTGGGGGCCACAGCCCGGCAGCAGCGCCGGTGGCAACACCCCAGGGCGCCCTCGGAGGGGTGACTCACAGGGAGCGGCTGCCACCTGGCTGCGGGGAGGGCCCTGAGGTTGTGCAGCCCCACACCACCCGCGGGGGCACCGTGGAGCATGTAGGGCAGGTCAGGGCAGGGGTCCGTGGGGGCACCGCGGGGTGGGGGCGACCAGGCCTGTGGGCTGGGGCGGGGGCCTGGGTGTGAGCTGCAGGGCGCCCGCCTGCGGAGAGCACGTGGCCCAGGGCAGGAGCCACGTGTCTGCCCTTCAGCTGCAGCCAGCCCTGTGGGCGGCCAGGCACTGGGAGTGTCCTCCAGGCACACGGGCCAGCGTGTCCCCACGGCCAGCCAGGCCCAGCGGTGAGACCGGTTCCTCAGGAAAAGCCAGGCCCCCGCTGCGGTGCTAGCCAGAGTCCACCAACACCCTGGGCGACCGGGGGCTGGGAGCTCCAGCTGCTGCAGGGCCGCTGTCCACGCGGGTGGACACAGCGGTCTTCAGCCCACTGTGGCTGCGTCCAAAAGGGTGGCAGGGTCTGAGCGTGCCTCCCTGTCCCCGCAGCCTCCCCTGCTGCATGTCCTCGCCCGCACCCTGGAGGCCCTGACC